TCAATGGATGGGCTCGGTTGATGCGTTTGCTGTTGATGAAACATTGTCTTGAGCGAGCTCAGGGGGGCCCTTACGGCTTTCTCAGCTGCAATCTCTGAAGTGCATGCCTCGACATCGGCGGGCCACAGCGCTTAGCCGTGCTGGCACATCCATTGATCCTACTGCAAACCGGCATCCTCAGACAAATTTGCGAAGGGAACAGCTTTTGGCTCGTTTTCAACGGTGGTTGCTGGCAGAGTTGTCAGTCATTCTTTCTGACTTGAAAGATTTTCCGCTTTTGATCAGTACAGCTTTAGTTGCTTATGGCAAATGTTTGTTTTACGAGGGTATCCCCAAATACCAGATGGTTGAAACCTTGAATTCTGTGGTTGATGCTTTGCCCCATCTAAGAGGGCAGCTAGGTGCCGTTTGGGGTTTGATTTCCAAATGGCAAGAGCAAGAGCCTATTGAGCGAACGATGGCGATGCCCGCTTCGGTTTTTTCGCGCGGCGGTGGCACTGGCGCTTCTTTGGGATTGGCCTCTTTTCGCGGCAGCGCTTCTGTTAGGTTTCCACGGATTGCTGCGCCCAAATGAGTTTTTGACATTGAAGCGAAAACACCTAGTGCTCCCTCGCGATATTCTGTCCAACGACCAGATCTGTTACGTTGCCATTTTGCATTCCAAAACCCGACGCTATGTTTTGCGACAGCATGCGCGTATTTCTGACGAAGTTGGCGTGGGCTTTTTAGATGCTGTTTTTGGCTGTTATCCAGCAGACAGTTTCCTTTTTGGCTGCAGTCTGAGCGTGTTCAGAAACCGTCGGGGCAAATTGTTTGGTCACCTGGGCATTCCTACTTCTGAGGCAGCTAAAGGCATCACCCCCAAAAGTCTTAGAGGCTCAGGGGCGTCTTGGCTGTATCACGTCACAGAGGACGTCGGTAAGGTTCTTTGGCGCGGAAGATGGCAGTCGCGAAAAACTTTAGAGCACTACCTTCAAGATATCCAAGGCCAAGTCCTGCTTTCTGACCTAGTCAAGGACAAACGACAGCTAGTATTCACCCTTGCAAGTGCTGCCTCCGGTTTGCTTTTGAAAGCCTCCAAGGCTACACCTTTGCGGCACGGGGATCAGAGTTGGATAAGTGGTTCTGAAGCAATGCCTCTTGAACCATTTTGAATTCCCTTTTTTGTACATTGTGATTTCTGGCCAGAATAATTTGAGCGCATGCTCATTTTCCTCCTTGCAGTGCGGCGAAGCGTTTTGTGAAACCAGTTTCAGCCGGGTAAAATAGCGCCAAACATGCAAGCGTATGTTTTGTGAAATTTGGATCGGCTGCAGTTTCAGCGGCCCGACCCGGCCCAACCCGGATAAGTGGTTCTGAAGCAATGCCTCTTGAACCATTTTGAATTCCCTTTTTTGTACATGTGATTTCTGGCCAGAATATGTTGAGCGCATGCTCATTTTCCTCCTTGCAGTGCGGCGAAGCGTTTTGTGAAACCAGTTTCAGCCGGGTAAAATAGCGCCAAACATGTGTATGTAAATATTTGCATTTGTACATATAGATTCATGTGCGTGTGCATGTATATATACATGTGTGTATGCATGTATGAAAAACCTGGTAAATATATTTCTGAATACATACATACAAATATATATATATATATTAATGTATGTGCATATGTATACTGTACATACTACGTGGGAAATAGAAACTGCACTGGCAATAAATTTTTTAAACACTGATTTTGGAACCCACAAACCCAGAACCCGCACTGGAACCTCCGGTACCACCACACCGGAACCTACAGAATAAGAAAAAAAACAAACCCGAGAAACACTGAATGCAGCTTGTGCGGGTGTAGCAGGTAGGCAGTATGTAGGTAGCGTGTGGTTTCCAAAATGCCGCAAATAATGTGCAGCTGGCAAGCTGTGGGCTCTGGACTGCTGCGAATTAGTGCATACAGCGGATGCTATGCATACTGCGTGTTTTATTTAGTTTCTGCGCCGTGCCACTGAACAATACTGCACCGTGCCACAAAAGGGAGGTAAATGGGAAGGTTTACTATTTGTTGAATAATTATCGAGCTCAAGGACCCACATTCTGGTTAAAGACGCCGGGGAACTGCTCAGGGGGGTGAAGGGGTTTGGTGGGTGGGTGTTCTTGCTATATCCAAAATATTTATCAAATATATTTCATCAAACGATATCAAATAAATGTATATATAAATATATTTTCATAAACATGATAACAAGAAAAAAGGGGGAAAACCTGAGAGCGCGAAGCAAAGAAGAATATTTATATAGATTTTGTTTGATTCATTGACCTTGTAAATCCAAACTACCCCCATTTGTGGAAGCGCGCGAGTGATGGAACCTTGGAACCTTGGAACCAGAAGAAATGGAAGGTCCCCTAATAAAAAAAATGTATTTGTGCCCATAAAAATTGGTTGGTCATGAATAGATTTTTATTGGGGCCATTTATACGGTAATGGGGTTACTTAAGATTAATTATGAAGTACTTATGATTAAATGATGTTTTTGCTTTTTGTTCCGCCTATAATGAAGAAATCGATGCATGCGGATCGTTTGGAATTTCAAAAGTGTTGCAAAGAGTCGCCATTGCTTTTCAAAATGTTGCAAATACAGTGCAGGTAGCTACTGCCAATGGTATTCCAAAAGAACAAAAAAACAAGCAGTAATTTAAGTTCACCTGAATTAATTTTCTGCCTATTCCTTTCTATCTGCGAGAATTGATTTCACACGTATATTTATATATACACGAAATTGCAAAAGTGCACAAAACCAAGTGTTTTGTTACGTTTTTTTGATTCGAAGGCATAATTCAATTACACACGTAAGTGTTTTTCTGTTTTTAATTGTCTGCCTGTCAAAACCCAAAAAATTCATTTTTTGTTACGACAATTTTCTATTTGCAAGTGGTTCACTATATATTGTTGTTTATCTACTTATTACTTATTTGCTTATTTATTTATCTACATATTTTTTAAATCACATCATAATAAGTTTTTTTCTAATATTATTTTTCTTATATCTCGTTATATGTTGTTCTATTTCATTGTGGTTTATGACATTATATTATATTATATTATGTCATATTATATTATATTCTATTATATTATATGATATTGAATTCTATCATATATATATACACAAAACTTTCATGCAATTTGTTTAGTAGGTATGTATTTTATACCTTTTCCATCCTTTTGCCTAGCCATGCTTGCCTTGCAGCAGTTTTTTACATAAATTGCACCCCGCCTTTAGAAGAAACAAGCAACCACCCAAACAAACAAAGAAAGAAAGAAACAAAGAAACACAGATACAAAAACAGACAAACAAACATACAAGCAAACTACCAACCAACCTACCAACCAAACAAACAAGCAAGGTATCAAACTTCTATATAGAATATTGGGTTTTAAATATGGTTCTTGTCCGAAAAGGGGAGCGGGGTAGGTGCCTTTTTCAAGGCACAGATTGTGACCCCAAAAGGTGAAAGCCCAAAAATAAAACAAAAACAAAAGTTTGAGGTCCAAAATCAAAAGCAAAATCAAACAATCAGCATACATGTTTTGTTTTGACCTAAAATCAATTGTGAAAACTAAGAAACTGATTGTAACCAATATCCGATGCTCAGGGAAATACTGAATAGAACAATTAGTGTGTTTTTTTGTTTTTTCTCTTGAACTTTCGATTGAATTTTTGAATCAATTGTTTATTGAAATTTCGATTGAAAAAGTGTAGATTGAAATTCCAATATTTCAATTGAAATTTATTTTTGCTGTGTTTTCGATTGAAAAAATCAACCTCGATTCAAAAAAGACAATCTAGGATGCTCTGGGTTACTAACTGCTGACTAGCTTTGCTGCTACTATTACTGCTACTGCTGCTGCTGCTGCTACTACTACTACTACTTCTACTACTTCTACTACTAGTCGCATAAATATAGAATTCCCCCGTAAAACCACAAAAATTTTGAAAATATTGAAAACTAAAAAGGGGAAACAAGTGGAAACCTTACAGCTCTCTCACTCACAACTCTTTCGCGCACAATTTCATGCACAACGTTGTCACACACAACTCTTTCACACAGATTTCACACACACTTGCACAGACACACACACACACGCAACTCTCACACACAAAGCTTTCACACACAACTCTTTCACACACAAAGCTTTCACACACAACTCTTCCACACACAACAACATTGTCACGCACAACCCTCTCACACACACAACTCTTCCACACACACAACTGACACAACTCTTCACTCAACTTTGTCACACACAACTTCGTCAGGCACAACTTTGGCACAGACACGCAACTCTTTCGCACTTCCATTGTCACACGCACACACAGCACTTAACACGCAACATTGTTAGACTATTAGACACAACTCTTTACACACGTTGTCACGCACGCACACACACAACTCTTTCACACAACCCTTTCACACACACACACGCAACTCTTTCACACACAACATTGTTGCACACAACTCTTCACACTCGTGTCACGCACACACACACAAGTCTTCTCACACACCATTATTACGCACAACTCTTGACACAGAACATTGCTATACACACACACATGCACACGCACAACTCTTTCACACACAACATTGTCACGCACAATTTCATGCACACACGCAACACTTTCAAACACAACTCTTTCAAATACGGCTCTTGCACACAACTGGTCCTAAATCTTTTGTTTTTCCAGCCCTTCCCATCCCACACACTTGTTTGACATTATTGGAAGACGGTGACGTGTGGGGTTATCCGGTCCTTTAATTTTTGATGGATGAAGGATGGCTCTTGTGTTCTGGCAGCAAAAAAACTGAGCAAAATCAATTCTGGGCCCAAGTGGCAACAGACGGGGACAATGGTAATAGGACATTCTCAAACAATTTTCCCAGTCAGAGTTCCATGACTGGGACGCTTCACGTATTGAAGTCACTGCAGGGAAACTATTTACGTCCACACCCGCACTCAGATGAATTCCATGCTCCGCGGACGTCCTTGACCAAGGCAGGGTTGTTGCATGTCCATTGTGAACGATTCGTCTTGCGCCTAGCCACAGGCACGGGAGCTGAATCGAGGTCTAGGATCCCGTGGAGCAGGATGGGCCGGCAGAAACTGAGTTGCAGAGGTCCATCTTTGAGAAAAACCAGGTATCATATCTTTTATAAATTATAATTTACAATGCCATCCCCCTGATATTTAGTACCGGATCTTGTTTTTTGGGTTTCATCATATGGGAAATATTTATATACTCTTTTAGCGGGATTGGGATTCGATTATTTATGATGTTTCCGGCAATTGCACATCCCAAGTCTCAACCCCATGGAAGACTCAAGCGGACCCGTGCTGTATCAAGAGGCTTCCCAGGTTGTTTAAGTGTTGGCCATGTTTTGCCAAAGAGACTGTAAGGATGTCAACAAACTCCTTGATCAAAATGGCGCCTTGTGCGGTTTGATGATCTGCCATGACATTTGACCAGTTGCTGCGACCCAATTCTTGAACGTCAACTTGCTGATGCGCGTGGAGCTACTATTCCCAGCAGTCCACGATTGGTTCGCACTGAATCAGTTCAGAGCTTTGGCTCCATCCTTTGGGAGCTGGCAATCCTCCATGAAATATCATGAAATTCCCGTGATGTTTCCTGCTCCAAGGAGGTTTTCAGTCATTCTGAGTATCGACCAGGTACTCTATTACTTTTCTGTCTGGTGCGCTTCAACATAGGTGGAAGAATCTGTTCTTGAATTCTTGGTAGCAAGCAAAGCGATTGCTTATTTGAAGGCCTGTGAAGAAAACAATGAATGCGTTGATAGCAATTTGGCGAAAGACGCTGCGTCTTTTCCCGGTTCTTAAACCTATCATCACATGTTGAATTTGTAAAAAAAAATAGGTGAAGACGGGTCGAAAATGTTGAGATGGCAGCAATCCACCCAGTGAGGCATTGCACGTTCCCATGTCACCCGGGTAGCGCTGCTTTCTATGAAGGTGCGAGGGAAGCTGGGGAGATACGAGAAGGGAAATTGAATGCAGGGTATATACTCTCTGATAAAAACTGTGAACAAACAGTAGGCTGGACAAATCCGCATTTGCAGATGATCTACTTATTGAGATTATTACTATTTGCTATTGATGTTTTTTCGGATTTTCGCCTTTTCCGCAGAATGTCATCCGCATTTTGTCTCGGTTGGTCCCTGCATGGCTCGGCAACTCGTGCCCAGGTCTTTAGTGGCTGTGCCTTTGACGCTGTGTTGTTTTCATCTACCGCAGAGCCGGGCTTCAATGACGAGAAACCAGAATGCAGTCCGGCATTGGAATCTTGGCACCGAAACGTGGATCTTGATGAGATTCTATATAGGATGATCATGGATGATCTCAGGCATTCCACTTGGCATGTAGCAAGATGTTTGCTGCGCAAAAACGCGATATTTGTGTGGATGGATTCTATAGTATAATGACCGTTAATAACCATACACTTAGATGTATAGTGTTTTTGGATTACATGGTTTTTACCATCTATTTATCCCACTCACAGTTAACGTTTTAGCAGGGTGGCGACAAACCGCCAAATTGCTTCAACTATGACATCAGCCATCGCATGTCGCTGTTTTAGAAAATGGGCTGACTCCCGGGTGCCACCGACCCCGTGTATTTGCTGCGACCCATCTCTTGTTTTATTGCTGTTCAGCTGTCACGCCACTGCCTCGCCACGGCGAGGGGTGGTGGCCTTCCTCTCTGCGGCCTTTCCGCCGCCCTGGCCGTGGCGAAGCCACCACCCCTCGCCACAGCCGCGGAGTTACCCCTGAACAGCACTAAAGCAAGAGACCGGAGCCAAACAGGCCCCCGGAAAGGCCGCAGAGGGGAAGGCCACCACCCGCCGCCAGCCGCGGCGTCACAGCTGAACAGCAACAAGACAATTGAGAGTGGTCGCAGCCAAACAGGCATCTGGACATTGTGACCTGGGCGCTGCCCCGGCTACTGCCAAAGCCGGGGTTGGCGGATGGTGTATCAAGTGGAAAATTGCGATAAACTAGGCAACCGGTTGACTCGCCGCCCTTGTAAGGGTGACAAATTTGAAATTGAGATTTTCGAGGCTAAGAGACAAACAAGTAGTATTTGTGGGACTTGTTCGAAAATGTTTGCAACATGGACATTCATTTCGATTGGCAGGCGTGTGATTCAAGATCAAAAAATGTGTTTGGCCTGGGCCGTGCGTGCTTGAAAAATATCCCGGCAAGAGACCCCAAACAGTGTGAGGAAGTGGGAGGATGATGTATGATAATGTGGAAGATGATGATGATGATGATGATGATGATGATGATGTTGAGGCGGATAAGTGATGATGATGATGATGATGATGATGATGATATGATGATAGATGATGATGATGATGATGGTGATGATGATGGTGATGATGATGAAGTTGTTGATGATGATGTTGAGGGTGATGATGGTGATGATGATGATGATGTAGAGAAGGAGGAAGATGATGGTGATGATTGATGAGAGGGATGATGAATCATGATGATGATGATGTAGAGGAGGAAGATGATGATGTTGAGGAGGATAAGTGATGATGATTATTATGATGATGATGATTATATAGATGATGATGATGATGTTGATGGTGATCGTGATGACGTTGAGCGTTGAGCAAGAAGACCGATCCCAAGACCGGGGCCCACACTTCGTGCGAGCCTGTGCAGTCGAAACGCATGTCAAGATTGCACAAGAGCCACTTTGCCCAAAAAAAATACAGGTAAAAAAATGCCACAGACCAAAGCCACGGTGCAGACTTTGTGCGAGCCTGCGCAGTCGAAATGCATGTCAAGATTTCACAAGAGCCACTTTATACAGAAATTTACAGGTTAAATGCTGCAGCCCAAAACCACGGCGCAGACTTTGTGCGAGCCTGCGCAGTCGAAACGCATGTCAGATCCCCGGCCGGTGATAGCCTATAGAATGGGGATCTTTTACAATTATGAAATGGTTTTCCGGACAGCCATTATATAGGAAGGATGGTTGGGGTGCACTGTGGCCTCCTTTTGCAAGAGTTGGGTTCATCATTTTATAAGGCCCGCACTGCCTACTTGCAAACTCTTCCTTTTTCAAGCATAAACTTTTGCAAAGAAAATCCCTTCACTTTATAGGTGCCAAACGGTTTGGTGAATCAAATTTTATTATAGACACCCCGCTGACCTTTGCAAAGAAATTGTCCTCATTTTATAGGTATATGGTTGTGCTAAGTAGAGCATGGTGCACCATTTTTTGTGATACTAAATTCTATTGATATATATATATATGTGTGTATTTATATTTATATTTATGTTGAACATTTGTTGGTTTTGATGTTTTCAAAGAATGTTTGATTTATTTTGAGACGTCATAGATTGACAAGAATGGGGGGGCAGGGGGATCACCAAAAAAAACATTAAAACAAATTCAAAACATTTTGAAACCCACACTGGCACCTATAAAATGCCTTGCAAAGCTTGTACAGACCGCATTTAGTGTTCAACCAATTTTCCTTTCTTTACCTTTGTCCCAAGACTTTGGAAAAATTACATTATTAGAGTATATTAGAATCAATATTCTGACATGTTATCTGACATTTTCTCTGAGACATATTTTGACATTCTATCTGGCATCTTCTGTAGCATAAAAAATGCATATAAAATAAGCATATTGCAGCACATATTCAAATTCACGAAAAAATGAAGTTTTTTTCATTTAATGGTATTGCTAATGGTATATGATCTATAATATTTGAAATATTTATAATATATATTTCTTCACTTTGATTATATTCAACATTGATAATATATATGTTCTACAATATTAATTCTTCAGGTACAACATTTGTCTTAATTTGTTGTATAGATATTTTTAACTCACAATTAAACATATTATAAGAATACACATATCAAAAAGTAAAGAGCCCATAAAATATCATTTTTAATTTTCAAACGTTACAAAAGTACCTTTTCCTGTTTACGCATTTAAATATGACATGTTTCACTTTCTTGTTGCGGCTTTTCCGCTGTGTCTCTCCCCTATAGCCTTCCCCCTTGGGGCCTTTCCGGGTCGAAGTCCTCGAGCCGCTGGGGCTTCCCCCTTCTTGTGTTACCCGACAGAAAAGAGGCAATGACAGGGTTTTGGTAGCCTGCTTTTTTTAAAGTATTTCTTATTAAGCTGCAAAGGCGAGACCTTTTCGATGCCATGAAAGTAAGAAAGCAAAAATTGCCGCAAAACTTGTACAGTGTGTTACAGACCGCAGAGTGAATGCTGCACACCCAAGCTACCACCTATAAAATGCCATGCAAAGCTTGTACAGACCGCAGAGTGAATGCTGCACACCCAAGCTACCACCTATAAAATGCCATGCAAAGCTTGTACAGACCGCAGAGTGAATGCTGCACACCCAAGCTACCACCTATAAAATGCCATGCAAAGCTTGTACAGACCGCAGAGTGAATGCTGCACACCCAAGCTACCACCTATAAAATGCCATGCAAAGCTTGTACAGACCGCAGAGTGAATGCTGCACACCCAAGCTACCACCTATAAAATGCCATGCAAAGCTTGTACAGACCGCAGAGTGAATGCTGCACACCCAAGCTACCACCTATAAAATGCCATGCAAAGCTTGTACAGACCGCAGAGTGAGTGCTGCACACCCAAGCTACCACCTATAGAATGCCATGCAAAGCTTGTACAGACCGCATTTAGTGTTCAACCAATTTTCCTTTCTTTACCTTTGTCCCAAGACTTTGGAAAAATTACATTATTAGAGTATATTAGAATCAATATTCTGACATGTTATCTGACATTTTCTCTGAGACATATTTTGACATTCTATCTGGCATCTTCTGTAGCATAAAAAATGCATATAAAATAAGCATATTGCAGCACATATTCAAATTCACGAAAAAATGAAGTTTTTTTCATTTAATGGTATTGCTAATGGTATATGATCTATAATATTTGAAATATTTATAATATATATTTCTTCACTTTGATTATATTCAACATTGATAATATATATGTTCTACAATATTAATTCTTCAGGTACAACATTTGTCTTAATTTGTTGTATAGATATTTTTAACTCACAATTAAACATATTATAAGAATACACATATCAAAAAGTAAAGAGCCCATAAAATATCATTTTTAATTTTCAAACGTTACAAAAGTACCTTTTCCTGTTTACGCATTTAAATATGACATGTTTCACTTTCTTGTTGCGGCTTTTCCGCTGTGTCTCTCCCCTATAGCCTTCCCCCTTGGGGCCTTTCCGGGTCGAAGTCCTCGAGCCGCTGGGGCTTCCCCCTTCTTGTGTTACCCGACAGAAAAGAGGCAATGACAGGGTTTTGGTAGCCTGCTTTTTTTAAAGTATTTCTTATTAAGCTGCAAAGGCGAGACCTTTTCGATGCCATGAAAGTAAGAAAGCAAAAATTGCCGCAAAACTTGTACAGTGTGTTACAGACCGCAGAGTGAATGCTGCACACCCAAGCTACCACCTATAAAATGCCATGCAAAGCTTGTACAGACCGCAGAGTGAATGCTGCACACCCAAGCTACCACCTATAAAATGCCATGCAAAGCTTGTACAGACCGCAGAGTGAATGCTGCACACCCAAGCTACCACCTATAAAATGCCATGCAAAGCTTGTACAGACCGCAGAGTGAATGCTGCACACCCAAGCTACCACCTATAAAATGCCATGCAAAGCTTGTACAGACCGCAGAGTGAATGCTGCACACCCAAGCTACCACCTATAAAATGCCATGCAAAGCTTGTACAGACCGCAGAGTGAATGCTGCACACCCAAGCTACCACCTATAAAATGCCATGCAAAGCTTGTACAGACCGCAGAGTGAATGCTGCACACCCAAGCTACCACCTATAAAATGCCATGCAAAGCTTGTACAGACCGCAGAGTGAATGCTGCACACCCAAGCTACCACCTATAAAATGCCATGCAAAGCTTGTGCAGACCGCAGAGTGAATGCTGCACACCCAAGCTACCACCTATAAAATGCCATGCAAAGCTTGTACAGACCGCAGAGTGAATGCTGCAGACCCAAACTGCCACCTATAAAATGCCATGCAAAGCTTGTACAGACCGCAGAGTGAATGCTGCACACCCAAGCTACCACCTATAAAATGCCATGCAAAGCTTGTACAGACCGCAGAGTGAATGCTGCACACCCAAACTGCCACCTATAAAATGCCATGCAAAGCTTGTACAGGACGCAGAGTATTACAGGAGCTATTTCATAATGTTCCTAATTCCATTTTATAGGTGACTTGTTGGGCGTTTGTCTTACATCCCAACTACCCCCTCCAACTTGAGCAGTAACATTTTATAGACTATATTTTTGCTGTGGTCAATATCACTGTTAACCTTTGCAAAAGAAGTTGGGTCATAATATAGGAAGGTATGTGTTCATGATGGTTTTGCTTTGCACCTCATTTCATAGAGAGAATGTATGGGTCTACACCTTAGCTTTTCATTTTATAGAGCTAATTTTCCTATAGAATGAGGGGGGCAAAGGTCCCTAGGCAACACTAAGGGAGGATCATGTCAGTATGTCACAAGAGCCAACATTATACAGACATTTACAGGAAAAATGCCGCAACCCAAAACCACGCCGCAGACTTTGTGCGAGCCTGCGCAGTCGAAACGCATGTCAAGATTTCACAAGCGCCACTTTATACAGAAATTTACAGGAAAAATGCTGCAACCCAAATTCACGCTGCAGACTTTGTGCGAGTTTGCGCAGTCGAAACGTATGTCAAAATGTCACAAGAGCCACTTTATATGGAAATTTACAGGTAAAATGCCGCAGACCAAAACCGCGCCGCAGACTTTGTGGGAGCCTGCGCCGTCGAAACGCATGTCAAGATTTCACAAGAGCCACTGTACGCGGAAATTTACACGTAAAATTCCTCAGACCAAAATGAGCCCAGAACGCGGACACACATTTTGTGCGAGCCGGCGCAGTCGAAACGCATGTCAAAATTTCACAAGAACCTTCATGCAGAAACTTACAGGTAAAATGCCGCAGAGCAGAGTGAGCACCCTGATCAAGCACCGGCCTTTACACTTTCCGTAAGAATCCCTCTGTGTGGACACACTGTTTGGGGAACATTAGGAATTCATGAATTTCATGTTTCAAGTGCAATCCGTCACTGGCTCATCCATTCCTTTTTTCTCACCCTTCGAAACATCAACACCAAAGTGCTTTCGGCAATAAGTTCCGTGGACCTGTTGAGCACAAACGAGGATGTGCAACATGTCAACAACGGTACTGTAACAAATTCCGTGGACCATGTCTTACAGTCGTCAAGAACCTTATGAGCCCCCCTGTTGGGCATAAGCGAGCACGTGCAACATGTCAACAACGGCAAAAAAAAATCGTGGACCCTGTCTTACAGGCGTCAAGAAAGTTATCAACCCCCCTGTTGAGCATAAGCGAGCATGGCAACATGCCAAGAACGGCAACAAGTTTCGTCGACCCTGTCTTACAGTCGTCAAGAACGTTATCAGCCCCCTCTGTTGAGCATAAGGGAACATGTGCAACATGTCAACAACGGCAAAAAGTTTCGTGGACCCTGTCTTACAGTCGTCAAGAACGTTATCAAACCCCCCTGTTGAGCACAAGCGAGCATGTGCAACATGCCAACAAGGGCAACAAGTTTCGTGGACCCTGTCTTACAATCGTCAAGAACGTTATCAGCCCCCCCACCCCCCTGTTGAGCAAAAGGGAACATGTGCAACATGTCAACAACGGCAACAAATTCCGTGGACCATGTCTTACAGTCGTCAAGAACGTTATCAGCCCCCCCACACCCCTGTCGAGCAAAAGGGAACATGTGCAACATGTCAACAACGTTGACAAGTTTTGTGGACCCTGTCTTACAGTCGTCAAGAACGTTATCAACCCCCCCTGTTGAGCATTAGCGAGCATGCGCATAATGTCAACGTGGGCAACAAGTTCCGTGACCATGTCTTACGGTCGTCAAGAACGTTATCAGCCCCCCCTGCTGAGCACTAGCCAGCATGTGCAAAATGTCAACAACGGCAACAAATTCCGTGGACCCCGTCTTACAATCGTCAAGAACGTTATCAGCCCCCTCTGTTGAGCAGAAGCGAGCATGTGCAACATGTCAACAACGGCAACAAATTCCGTGGACCATGTCTTACAGTCGTCAAGAACGTTATCAGCCCCCCCACCCCCCTGTTGAGCAAAAGGGAACATGTGCAACATGTCAACAACGTTGACAAGTTTTGTGGACCCTGTCTTACAGTCGTCAAGAACGTTATCAACCCCCCCTGTTGAGCATTAGCGAGCATGCGCATAATGTCAACGTGGGCAACAAGTTCCGTGACCATGTCTTACGGTCGTCAAGAACGTTATCAGCCCCCCCTGCTGAGCACTAGCCAGCATGTGCAAAATGTCAACAACGGCAACAAATTCCGTGGACCCCGTCTTACAATCGTCAAGAACGTTATCAGCCCCCCCTGTTGAGCAGAAGCGAGCATGTGCAACATGTCAACAACGGCAGATCAGCCACATGCCGAAACAACAGCCCTTCCAAGGGCGGCCTACCAGCCGCATGCAATAAAGTACTATGATAAAGTGATAAAACCGCTGTACTCATTTGACGCAACCATTTGTTCTGCAATGTGTGCCTCCCAGGCCAGCTGGAAGTATGTGGGGCAAGCAGTCATCACTGGCCTTGTCACTTGGCTTCCGGCAGCTGTGGCGCCAGGTAGTCATGATGGCCTTTGGCTCCTATAGTCATGGTAAATTGAGCCAGCGATAGACGGTAAATTTGGCCATTCCGGATGATTGTGTAAAAATTGCCTATTGGGCCTATTGGTATATTTAGGTTGATGGGTTAGTTGATATAATTAGCATTAAACTATATAATAACATGAGCATCAAGTCATTAAGTTATACCAAGCAAGTTCCAATCATCATTTCGGACGGTGCAACAAACAGCTGGTCTGGGAAAAGAACGACACGATCTTCATTTCGCCATGCATATTTGGTGCTAAAGAATTCCAGCTCAAGGGACTGCAAGCGCTAGCCAAAGCAGTGCTCCACATTAAGCAACGAAAGTGCCGACTAATCTCTATTTGTTCTTGGGATTTGACAGAAAAACGCGGTGAAAAGGAGCAATACTTGTTTGTATCCGCATACATGATCATACATGTCGATCTGTCGGAGCTTCGCTGCTTCCGTTCGCGTTCCTCGGAATGCCTATCATGCTGTGTCTTTGGACAGCATTGTTCCATTTGCACGCTTCGCTTGGAATGTTTGGTGGTTTTGGATAGTTTTGGTGGAACTTGAGGCGTCCACCCTCCTGAGTGATGTCGTCATCTGGATACTATCTTACATTCTCAGTGCGACTATCGAAGAGAGACCAGCATGGACGACCAAAGATTGGAGTGCACGACTGAGATGGTCGAGGTGGAGGACCATAGAGACTAAGAGTTTCACGGCCCTGTGAGGAAAGATGTGTTCTTCTAGTGTTTGAACAGAAAATTTGATAGAACAGGTATATATAGAGATTGAGGAGGTTGAGTTTACAGCTCATTTGCTGTCCCTATGATTTCCGCAACATATCGACAAATGAGTCGCGTCTTCCAACACCCCCACACGGATTTGCAGGACGCGTTGCTTCTTGTGCTTTGCGGCCCCTTGGCATCCTTGGCCGCGCTGTTGTGCTTTTCGACTTCCTGCATCACTGGGTCCGATCGCCAAGGCCTCCTACGATCTCGCCTGCTTGATCTACGTTTACCTCTTCATTGCCAACGCCAGAGAGGCCTGGGATTTGGGTTCTGTGGGGCTCAAAGACTGTGGGGATGAAGGGGGTTCCTTCTGGTAGCTGTTTCAGCCTGTAAATGTGTCCCAATGTTCATGGAAATCAGCATCCACCTCAGCATCTCCCCAGAGGCCGCGGTCCACCGTACAGCAGAATTGATGTGTTCCTTCTAGCCTTGAGATCTATTATGGAGAGATTCATGTACAAAGATCAAGAGTCAACTCAGCGGGTTGAGCCTTCAAGATTTTTTTTCTCAACGCGGCCCTGAGGGGGATTCTACGCAATTGATGCTGGCAATCCTCTGGGGGCTGTTTCAGGACACAGTTGGACACACGGAGACGTGTATATGTATTTGGTGATCAATTGGTTTGGGAGTCATATCTGGTGATGAAAGATTCTTCAGAAACGTATGTAGATGATTGGCCTATTCAGAAATCGAAGGGTTCCACCAGAGGGTATGTGAAAACATATTCAAGCTCTCGCTGAAGAGCATGGAGGAAAGTCAAAACAGGCATCTGGAATTCTTCGACCGCGTCACAGTATGTACAATAGAAGCATTTCATCCTGCCAGGTGCCTATGTTTTCGATCACCTGGACAGGTGTGACAACACAACATGAAGAGATTCTTCTCCTCCTCCGCCCTCAACCCAAAATAGTACAAGCTCAATGTTTTGCTTTTGATTGGCAGCAAAAGTTCGAGATAGCCAGAGTCACGAAATCATCGGCTGGGTGCAAGCAAGTGAGATTTGTTTCAAGTGAACAGTGAACTCAGTTGTATCCCAACAACTGTAGAAGTCCTCAATAAGTCAATAACATTTTTTTTGTTCCGGCCGATTCCGAAGATCCTGGCTGGATCACATGGCACATGGCTCGCAGGATGGCCTCGGGAAGCCGTTGGTGATGGCCGCAATCCTGGCGATCGCGTCAAGTCTGGCGCTATGGTTGTTTCCGGAAATCTCAGGGTGCCAGTGATGGGGAGGGCAATGCATGTGGTCCAACCATTGGCTTGATTGTAGCTCTGATTTTGAAGCTTAGCCTCATGATAGTAGGTGACCCAATACTACTTGGATTTCAGAAGTGCGTTATAAATAATAATTCAAGTGCAATCCGGTCTTTGTTGCTGCCTTCACTTTGAAGCGCACCAGCAAGTCATATTCCAGAGGATAGTGGAGGCCATAAAGTGAAATCTCTGAATCTACCGTGTAAACACCACACGTAGCTAGTTGACACATGTGATTGCAGTAGCTTGACAGGACAGAATTTGAATGTCTTGTGCCAGTGACAAAGTGTACGCCCACGCCGTTTCGATTCAAGGGTGACAGCAAACAGCTTGTGGCATTGGCCCGTTGCAGGGAAGTTGGAAATAAGTGGCCGGAACCTAAAGAGGACCGGTCCAGCGCCTGAGATTTTGGGACTGCAACCGAGAACCCACAGATTTTGCAGCTTAAATTGCAAATACAAACGCGCACACACACACACACCAACAAGGCATGAGGAACGCAGTAGTCCAATCGCAAGTGCTCCTCTAGGCACAGTCTTGGATGTGGATTGTTTTCTTCCAAATATTTTAGGAAAGCCAGCCGGCAGGCTAGACTGGAGTTTCTCAGTTTGAGTCTCGGGGCTCCCCAGAATTGTTGTATTATCCTGTATACCATCCATCATATATTTTTTCCCACCCCCCCTTTTTTGTGCCCGGCATGGTCAGCAAGAGTTCGGGAATATAATCAATTTCTGAATATTTTCCGCAACATAAAACCATACGTTGTGCAAATTGGTAATCCGGGGCCTTCATTCGTTACACAAATAAATGCTCAATTGCCTGTTGTAACACTTTGGTGGCTCGTAGCACTCTTTCTTAATTCGGGCCAACTCGTGCACAATGATCAGAATGAAGCACAATACTTTGTTGCCAAAGTGTGTATCGAAATCGTGCGCGGGGCGGGCGCAAAAACTTGTCAAAAGAGCGCACAAATTGTCAACCGGGCGCAAACAACAATTTTTGCTAGGAGCATGGACAGTACGCAGAGGCAGATGAAACTAAACGCGCAAACTAGGACAATTTTCTTTCAGACAAACAAAAATCATTGAAACAAGCAAGCATCCGTTGAACAGGTGCTTCTGCTTATTTGAAGGATCAGGTGTATCTTCGTATATATATATATATGTATATATATATATATGTATATATATATATAGATATATTTAAATAATATATATTGATATTATAATATATTATATATTATTTTTATTTGTTTAAAATATTTATTATATATTTATTAAATATTCTATAATATATATTACATGTTATATTTGTGAAAGCAACAAGACTTGTCATGGTGAAAGGTCATGACTGTTTGGCACGACATGTGTGAGATCCAATCTGCCCGCGGCTGTCTGATTAAGCTCGAGGCGGGACACCGGCTGAGCGATTCGTTGCACTGTTCATGTGTAGATCCAGGCTCCGGTCAGTGTTGGCATTGGTAGCGTTCCTCTGGTGCACCTACGGTGCAAACTTAGGATCGCTCTGCCTGATGAGCGGCCTCGCCTTTGACTCTGACGTGCCCCTGGAGTATGAGGAGGACACGATGGAGGAGGAGAGCTTGGCGCTTCCCAGGGAGCAGCCTCTGATGGTGGTGCCCCTAGCTTGGACCTCTTAGGAGGTGAACCTGATGGTGGAAGAGACAATGGTGGTGAAGCTCCTCCAGCAGCTAGTGGTGGCAACAGCGTTCCTGCCAGTGAAGGTGGTCGAAGATCACGTGGCTCACGGGGTTCCAAAGCTTCCCATGGTGCTAGCAGGACTTCAAACACGAAGCCGAGGTGGAGATCAGGCGCTGTGCCCCCTGCTCCAGTTTTCGAAGGAGATGCGGAACAAGATCCTTACTGCTTGCGCCACTACCGAAAACGTTTGCTGCGATGGTGTTTGATTACAGCTCTGAGTTCTTGCCACGAAACGAACAAGCTCTTCGTGCCCGAGAACAACTACGTGGTGAAGCTGAACTTGAGTTGCCCGAGGTGCCAGACACCAGGTACCCTGAGGAGTCCAGGGTCATCAAGCTTCTTGATGGCTTGAGGTTGGATGAGAGGGCCACATTGGCTCTGTTGCTGGCGGCCGGGAACAAGTATGAGATGAAGGCTGTCTTGGATGCTATCAAGATACAGTATCCCGCTGGCATGTCAATCACTGGCCTTCCAACTTTGAAAGCTGCGCATTTGAAGAAGCTTGGAGGTGGATCTCAACGCCGAGTTCAACATCAGCGCAGGTCTGGCGCTTGGCATGCAGGTGCTTGGCATGCAGACGCTGATGAGTCTTGGGACTATGAGGCTGAAGAGCACGAGACCCAGCAGTATGACGAGACGGAGCATGCTGCCGAAGATCAACATGAGGCCGCCTATGGTGATGTGGAATATGATGAAGAAGATGTAGATGGTGGTGATGCAACAACTGCTGAGCCAGAACATGGAGCTCAGACTGCAGGTAGTTCGTCTGATGCTTTGTCAGCTGTTGTGGAGGCCCTGACAGTGACGAGCAAACGCCTTGCTGAGATCACCAAGAGCCGTGGCTTTTACCAAGACAAGGGCAAGAATCCTTCAAAGTCTGGTGGAAAGTCAAAGGGCAAGTCGAAGGGTGCTGACAAAGGGCGATCAAAAGGCAAGGGCAAGGGCAAACCTGGACCCACGCCTTCCAAGGGCAACTTTGCCAAGCAGCGGAACATGATTGATGACTCACTCTGTCTGGGATGCTCTCAACCTGGACATTGGCTGCGAGACTGCCCCTATGTCAGCACTTTCAGTGCCCAGGTCACCACAGCTGGCAGCGTTTTGGATGCCGATGGCTATGTGGTGGATCATGCTAGCTGGATGGTCAATTGCACTCCAGCTGTCTCAGAGCACGGCGCATTGGAGAAAAAGGAGTGCGACCTTCCGGTGTTTGATATCCATCCCAACTTTGACATGGTCCATGCAGAGCCCATCATTTTTGAATCCATTGCAGTTTCCAAGAATGAGCATGTCCATGTGGAGTCCGTAGTTCATGAATCCAATGCGGTTTTTGCTTATGACATGGTCCCACAGCATGACATGATCCCACAGCATGACATGGTTTTTGAGGATGAGCAGTTTTTTCAGAATGTCAGTCTCATTCAGTCGATTGAGGTTCCAAAGGATTTCAAGGTTTTTCCGAATGACCCCATTGAATCCAATGCCCTGGTGATCAACTTGAACCCCATGCCCATTTACAAGAACCCTCAAATTTTGTTGCAGTCCGTTTTGGATGTTGAGGGCAGCACGATGATAGCCGATACAGGTTGCCAAAGAAAAGTGGCTGGTTTTAGATGGCATGGGATTCAACAAGAGAACATCAAGTCTTTGAAGGCAGTCCAGTTTGGGGACGCTTGCACCTTCAGTTTTCGCCCGCACGAAGGTATGCCAGCGACGATGCGGCTTGCCTATCCTGCAGGACTTGGAGGTGCAGCAGTGGCATTGGGGGCTAGTCCGGTTGAACGTGATGCACCTGCACTTTTCAGGTCCAGCATTTGAAACACTTGGTGCAGTTCCTGCAATTTGCAAAGGAGTCATGTACTACAGAACTCTCAATCGCACTTCAAAGCTGTATCTTGCAAGGGCTCATTTATCAATTCGCATTGATGAGTGGCCACATGAACCATTTTCTCGGCCAATGGATTTTCCCGAAGATCAGATTGCAGATGTTTGGATACCTCCCTCACTGGAGACAACTGCGCTCAAGGTTGTGAAGCTCCAAACCGCCTGTGCTCCTGTTAGGAAACCACCGCATGCCGACATCAGCGAGTGCTCCAGCATGGCTCTCCAACTGGCGCTTCCCCCTTCTGGACCTGATGGAGACTGTCTACACGGTGAAGCAGATGGTGCTGATGTACGCGGCCACATCCATGAAGCCAAGGATGAAGGACCGAGTGCTGGAAGTTTACTTCCCAAGGCAGACGGCCATGACCATGCTGATGGCGATGACCGCTGCCCAGACTCAGCGCAACAGCCAGCTGAGCTACCCGAACGATCCAGCCACCTGTCATCACGACAACGGCTTGCGAAACTACGGCGGTGGAGGCAAGAAGATGACCATTTGCGATCTATGCGGTGCTCGTTGGATCCAGAACACCGACAGGGACAAGTCATTGATCCAATGTGCGCCAAAGGCATCACTCCTCTGAAGCTGCCTGCTCACGTGCTGGAGAGGAAAGAGTACCCCCTGCACACCGACGACATCGGCCGAGCAAGATCCTCAACGGAGACGGCCAGAAGTTCTTCAACAAGGGGATGGGCAAGCTCATCGGCTGGTGCACGGCTGTCGCCCTCGCTCTCACTGAAACAGGCCAAGCCCAAGATCATTCCATCCTCAGTCTCAGTCCGCCTCAAAGCCCACAACTTGGCCCAGCAACAGCAGGAGATGGACGAGGATGCCAGCATGCGAAGTTGGGAGGCTCCGGAAGTCCCCTATATGCGACGGCGACCACCGAAATCGTATACAAGGGCGAGCACGGGTTACTCAGCGAGCATTCTTCAGGACGACGCCCAGGAGATGCACGAGGGCTCCAATGGCGAGATGGAGTGGCAAGCTCGTCCACGCCCGGTGCCAAAGATGCAACCATCGGTGGTGCAGGAGGAGCTGGAGTTCAACGAGGACGGAGAGCAGGTGTGGCGTCGCACCCAAGGTGCAATCCATGTGACAATGGCCGACGAAGAGCTGGGGGAAGTGGACGCCGAGGAGGAGTTCAGTTGAAGCCCAATGCGCTGACCTTGCAAGGCTCCGCTGATGCCCCATTGCTGAAAGAAGATCGTGGTTGGATGCCACTGCGTGCTGGCCAGCAGAAGCGGCTGCTATAAGGGCAGTAAGACAATGCCTGACTATGGAAGCCCGGGTCTACAATGGACGCGCAGCCAAGGCCAAAGCAATGAGGCAACATCGATGTGACCTTGTCGAGATCTACAGTGGTTTTGCCAACATCACTGCAGCAGGTTCTTCAACGAGGACTACGTGTTCTGCAACCAGTGGACAAGGTCTATGGCATCAACATTGAGAGCAAAAGTCAGATCATCAGCAACTACGACGAACTTTGCTGAAGCACCGCCCCTTTTTGATGGTGTGGGAAATTCGATGTGGCCCTTGGTCACGAATTCAACATCTCAACGACAACGCCGAAGAGCTGGAGGAGTTGAGACAACAACGTCGACTTGCACTTCGAGAGATGACCGACACCATCCTCGAGCTCAACAAGCTTGATTGCCATTTTCTCTTGGAGAATCCTTGGGGTACTGACTCCTGGGAGCAGGATGAGCTGAAGCCCATCTTTCAACTTGATGGAGTTCAACTTCGCAAGGGATCTATGTGCAACTTTGGATTGCGAGGCAAAGATGGCTTACTTTTGAGAAAGGACACTGGGTGGTGCAGTGATCTTCCCCGTGTTCTTGATGCCGTGGCCCTGCCTTGCAACGGAGCCCATCAGCATGAGCTGTGCTTGGGTGGCAATGCAAAGCATGCACAGATCTACACCAAGAAGTTGTGCAGAGCTGTAATTGATGGTCTTAAGGCCGAGAGCTCCAACAACGTGGCGATGAGCGTTTCTGCAAGCATGTGGAGACCTATGACCAGTGGGCTACTTCATGAAGTCCTTTGACGCCCTGGTCATCTTGGACATCAACCACATCAGTAACGGTGTGGTTTGCAGTCAACCAGAACATTGAGGCCTGGCGGCCAATTTTGAAAGAAGTTGCTGATCGTCTTCACGACAAAGTCCAAGCCTCTGCCACTGTGAAGCTTGATGCGGCCTTTCATGAACAAGTTCAACAACTGGTGCCATGGAAGCTCACTTTGGTGCAGATTGCACGAGCTCCCAAGGTTCGACGTCTTCCAGTGCAAAAGATTGATGGAAGAACCAGTGACTCATCGCGCTGCTGTGCTCCAGTATGCGACAGGCCAGATCCAACTTGAATCTGAAGCAGTGGAGTCCATCAAGGATTCACCTGGTGAGACGTTTGAGGCGCCTGTGGCCTATGCTGTCTTCATCTTCGGTGAAGCCCCTCGCAGGAGCTTTGACCCCAAAGATGACCTTGCGCCGGAGAAGGTGCCAGCCAAGCAGATTGTCAAAGATCTTTTTGCAGAACCTCAAGAACAATGGCTGCCACATCAACCCGGTGTACGGGACATCGCTTTTCCCGGTCTTCAAGGAGTGCCTCAATGGATGCTATCTGTGTTGAGGCGTATCCATGTGAATTTGGGACACCCTGGAACTGAAGCTCTTGTGCGACATCTTGCACAAGCTGGAGCAGCAGGTGATGCCTTGTTAGCCGCAAAGCATTTGCAGTGCAGCATTTGTGCTCGCACCAAACCACCTTCAGCAGCAAGACCTACAAAGGTCTATCAAGCCAGGCGCTTCAATGACCGCCTGATGATAGACATTGTCTTCATTCGAGACGTCACAAGCACCATGCACACCTTCCTGAGCCAGGTTGACGATGGCACGACCTATCAGGTCTTGGATCTCTTGGAGACGCGATCTTCAGAAGAGGCTACAACGGTCCTGGCCAGAGGGTGGTTCAAGTTTTTCGGCTTCCCTGATGAGATGCTTTTGGACGCCGAAGGTGCTATGCGTGGCTGGGATTTTGAACAGCTATGTGCCCAAGCTGGTGTCAAGGTGAGATTTGTTCCGCCGGATGCTCATTATCAACTTGGCAAAGCTGAACGCCACGGACAAGCTGTGAAGCACATCATGCAGCGCTTGGTGAACCAGTTTGCTGCGACTACAGCAGATGAAATGCAGATGCTGGCGAAGATGGCGTGCTTTGCGAAGAACTCACTGGTAAGACGCTCTGGTGCCTCACCTTGTCAATGGGTCTATGGCAGAAATCCCAAGATCCCCAACTCCATCCTCTCCGAGCCGGATGCCATTGAGGCCAAGCAGGTCATTGAGGACTCCGAGCGCTACAGACGCATTGAAGAAGTCCGACATCAAGCCATGATGGAGTACCTGCAGTTCGAGCACTCTGAGGCTTTGAGAAAGGCCGTGCTTCGAAAATCCAGGCCATGGAGAGGCCCTGTGGAGGTTGGTGCCAAAGTGGCATACTTCAGAACTTCAGACAGAAGAGCCAACTTGATACTGCAGAGGGCTATTGTCAGGGCATGGTCCTTGGTGTTGATCCAACCCCTACTGGATCGGTGTGGCTACGAAATAGCCGAGGTCGAGTGGTGCAGGTGGCAAGGGAACAACTATACGTGGCGTCGAAGGCGAAGAACTTTGGACACCTTCGATGGCAGACCTACGAATGCTGAGGTCAGCGGAGGAGGATTTGACAGCCAGGCATGCTGGTGCACATGACCATCCTGGACCTGCCCCTGGAGCCCTGGAAGATCGGATCATCTTAGATCCCGCTGGTCCACCTCAAGCAATTGATGATCAGCCCTTGGCAATTGTGCCCCTTCCATTGCCACCAGTGCCTGAAGCACCAGGGACACCAGCAGCTGAAGTCCCTGTGCCAGCAACACCAAGAACAAGACGCCAGAAGCAGCTTGCAGACATGCCTGCATCGTCTGCAACACCTGCCAAGCAGCCCAAGACAGTGACGATAGCCATTCCACCAGAAGGTCAGCAACAGCCTGCAGATGAGACTGCGGATAGTGATGTGCAGTCAGGTTGGTTCCTTGACCCTGACGGGCGACCCACAGTTGTGACTGAGAATGCAGCTGGCATTCCAACGTCTGGGCCGAGCTATGACCCTGAGCGCTTCCGCTACAGATCCAGCTGGGCCTACCAACAAGGCCAGTGGAAGAAGCTGGAAGACCGCGTGCCATGGTCTTAGGTGGAACCCCGCAGTTTTGCAGACAAGCCAGTTGAAAGACTGGTCACGTCCTTCAGCCCTGACCAGAAGCATGGACGAAGGCCTTCCATGGACCCCATTGCCGAGACCCAAAGAGGAGTCAAACGCAGTGCTGAAAAATCTGAACTACCACAACGACCTGAGCAAGAGCCGACTACGATGAAAGACGCCGGCGCTTCAGATGCAGCCACACTACAACCTGAACCAGCTCAACCTGCTGAACAAGTTCAAGGTTTTGAAGTTCCAGTAAGTTGTGGAAGTCAAAGCGTTTCAATGAAATGTGCGTCCTAGGTGGGGGAGAAATTTCTGGAAGTCGGTGCGATGTTGCGTCCAGTTGGTGTTTATCATGTTTGTGTTTTCCCCAATTGATGGTTTATCGTGAGTTTTTCATGGATACCATGCAGATGGTTGTACAGCTATTCCCTTGTGCTTTGGGAGTTTTAGCTTTGTAATAAAGGAATTGTACATCACTGAATGGTGTCTGTTGTTCTTGGACAGTTAGGCAGGTGGTGATGATGTAGCTCCGATTGGGTAGGCATTTGTGGCTCGCTCTGGTGTGCAAGATTCATACAAACACCGACGAATACCGTATCAATGTGCATGTGCGGATAAGTGTCCACATGGTGTTTAATATCCGTGGATATATATATATATATTTTTCTAGATTGTGGGACATAACTGTGCACACGCGTCCTGATGGGGAGTTGGAAAATTTGGCAATAGAAAAGTGCACAGCCAGGGATCTAAAAACAACACTTCTACATAGTGCGTCCCATGGTGTTTTGGACCTGGCTGCATTGACTTGTTTGACTGCCTGAATGCGCGGCGTCCCATGGAGTTTTCACCTTGGTTCCACATATGCACTGACTTTCACGTCCCAGAGTACCTGATGATGCGCAGAACCTGATGGTCCGGCAACATGACCAATATCTCGCGCCATGCTCGCGCTGCAATGCTCACTCCTTTGTCTCTGACCCTCGCCAAGTGATGAGTTGGTTTGACGAGGTCGAGGAGCGGCACGCTTTTGAGCAATTGCGAGAAGATCCCACCTACGATTCCAGGATCAAACATTGGTCCTATCAACCTCGAGCTGAACTGCAAGAGCTTACGCTCCCTGCCCCAGATGCGATGGATGATGCACATGACATGAGAACGAGGCCTACTTGCTGGACATTGGCCAATGCTGTCAGCAGATGCCCGAAGATGCCAAGCAAGACTCAACATCCATCTGGAGCGTGGCCACCAAGCAGAATGACTCAGACTGGCACTGGCATGAAATCTTCCAAAACATCCACATCGCGCTGGACACCTTCAACGACACGATGCAAGAGTTGTACTGGCAGCCACGGAAAGCTTTGTGGATCAAACATCAGCGAGTGAGCAGGAGACTCTTTCAACACAACAACCAGAAGATCAAGATCAAGCTCCCTCGCAAAGAACGCCATTGGTTGCGACGGCATGGTCGCAGAAATGTGATGCTTGCGGGTTGGGATGGATCACATCCTGAATTGCAGCCCTTGTTTGAACAAGATGATTTTGCCAAGATCTACCACAGCTTCATCAACGACATTGCGAACAATAAGACCACTTCTGCCGAGCTGGAGGTGAATCAAGATGCTGAGGCCTTTAGACAAGCCGGAGCTCCAGCATGGGAGCAAACATCATGGTTGCCCAATCACAGCCATGAGGATTTCAACGCAATGTTCACCGAGAACCAGACCTTTGTTGGGCCTGAGTCAAGTGGAGATGAAGGTGAAGATGGCAGTGGCTTGCCAAGCAAGCTTTGAAGAAAGGGCACGCCATGGCGAACCATCAGCGAGGAGGACAAGCCAAAGTTTGTCGAAGCAACCCAAGAAGAATGGCAAGAGTGGCTCAAATGGTCCAGTTGCAAAGCCATTTACCCACAACCTGGCGAAGTGGATCCCAAGTTGATTTTGAAGTCAAGGATTTGCTATCGCTGGAAGCCTAAAGATGGTGGCGAATGGTTCAAGCCTAAGAGTCGCATAGTGGTTTTGGGATTTGCAGATTCTACCACTGCTGAGTCGAGATGCTCCAGTCCTGGCAAAGACATCCCTGGTCCTCATCATTCAATGGTCGGCATCTCTTGGAGTTTCTCTATGGAATGGTGACTGCAAGTCTGCTTTCTTGCAGGGGGAGCCAGACAATGAGAGGCCAACTCAGATTTTCATGCGACCACCGCAAGATGGCATAGCGAAGCAAGCAGTGCCTGAATGGAATCACCCGCTGCTGCTCTACGCCCTGACCGCTCCAGTCTATGGACAAGCTGACAAGCCAACGCTCCTCGTCGTTGGTATCTCCATGTGGTCAAGGTGCTGCTGTCGCTGAACTGGACACAACGCAGCAGTTTGGACCCATGCCTGTTCCTCTGGATTGACGGTGACAACCAAGTGCTGGCAGTACTAGGAGTTCATGTAGACGATGTGCTTTGTTGTGTTCTACCTGCCGGAGAACGTCATCTGGAGGAGGTGAAGAAGTCCTTTGAATGGGGCTCTGCATGGGAGGAAAATGATTTTGTTTTCACTGGCAGATGGATGCGGCGTCAAGATGATGGCAGGCTTCTTTTGGACCAACAACACTATGTGGCTGACATCCACCTCACCAAGATCAGCTTGCCAGATGATGAGCTGCTCTACAATCACCCAGAGCTGGTGACCGAGTTTCGCTCTGGTATTGGAAGTTTGCAGTGGATGGCTGGGACAACGCGTGGCGATTTGGCTGCTGACACGTCCTTGCTGCAGAAGCCTCCAAAAGAGCTGACAGTTGGCGATCTGAAGGAGATCAATGAAAGGTCCTAAAGTATGTGCGCGCGACGGCCAATGCGTATGTGCGAGTGAACCCCTTGGACCTCAAGGACCTTGTCTTCATAGCCTACGGCGATGCTGGGTGGGCAAACACACCCAACAACAAAAGCCAAGCTGGATTAGCTGTGCTAGCCACCACGCGTGAATATCTAAATGGACCCCAGAAGGCATCGTTGCTGGAAGGGAAAAGTTACAGACATCAAAGGGTGCTGCGCTCAACACTTGCAGCCGAAGCTGCCAGTTTGGACAGGGCACACGACATGGGCAATTTCATGGCATGTGTGTTTTCAGCAATGACCTTTGGCTACTACAAAGGCACCACTGGCACTCCCATGTATACCTCTGACTGATGCCAGGTCGCTATATGGGACGCGATTCACCGACTGAGCACATCGTTCTCTGAGAAGAGGGTGGAGATCGACGTTGCTGCACTACGCCAGAGCTGCCGTGGACTGAGATGGGTTCCAACAGATCAGCAAAAAGCTGATGCGTTAACAAAACGCAGTGCCAACCTGAGGGAATTCGTTTAGGAAGTGGGCCATGGAGCCAAATGTGGCCTTGGTAGATTCAAAGTCACCTGAAGAGACATTTGGTGACAACGCACAGTGGAAATCTCATATGTTGACCAAAGAGAAAGTATACCAGTGTGAAAGTAATAAGATTTGTCATGGTGAAAGGTCATGACTGTTTGGCACAACATGTGTGAGATCCAATCTGCCCGCGGCTGTCTGATTAAGCTCAAGGCGGGACACCGGTGGAAAACGGGCTGAGCGATTCGTTGCACTGTTCATGTGTAGATCCAGGCTCCGGTCAGTGTTGGCAATGTGAATATCTAGTTTATATTCTATATTATTTCAATTTTTAATAATATATCATATCATATATACTATATATATATATATATATTTAACATAGACCCGGGCAAGCCGCCGGCGGAAGTTTCCCAAACATAAATGACCTATAGTTCAAAGACAACCTGTCCCGACCGTGTCCTTCCCTCGACACTCCACACCTCACACTGCACACTGCACTCTTCGCACTCCAAACTTCAAACTTCACACTCCACACTTCACACTTCACACTTCACAGTCCACACTTCACACTTCTCACTTCCCACTGCTTCCTTCACACTCCAAATCTCACATTTCACACTTCACACTTCACACTGCGCGCTTCGCACTCCAAACTTCACACTCCACACTTCACACTTCACACTCCACACTTCACACTTCTCACTTCCCACTGCTTCCTTCACACTTCACACTTCACACTGCACTCTTTACGTCCCACACTTCACACTGCTCTAAACCTACGTGCAACAAAAAAACACTAGTGCCAAAATGGAGAAAATCTGCTAACAAATTTATTTCGCAGCCTTCATGCAGCCACTCCAAGACGATTTACGAGATCCAGCTGCAAAAGACAATAGTATTACTAATGCAGCCACAGCACGAAGCAACCTTGACGCAGCCATTACAATGCGATCTGCAGAGACTGATTTGCAAAACACAATAGAACTACGCGCAACGGCGTCGGAAATTGTAGCTCCAAAACCGGATCTCGACGCCAGAGCGAAAAAAGACGATTTTGAAGCACTTTTTAAAAGGATTTTTAGAAGGAAAATCACTGGCGCCAAAATGGAGAAAATCTGCTGACAAATCACTGTGGCAGCCTTCATGCAGCCACTCCAATACAATTTACGAAGTCCAGCTGCAAAAGACAATAGTATTACGAATGCAGCCACAGCACGAAGCAACCTTGACGCAGCCATTACAATGCGATCTGCAGAGACTGAGTTGCAAAACGGAATAGAACTACGCGGAACGGCGTCGGAAATTGTAGCTCCACAACCGGATCTCGACGCCAGAGCAGAAAAAGTTGATTTTTGAAGCGTTTTTTATAAAGAATTTAAATAGAAAATGAAAGCAGGCAAAATCTGAAAGAATCAAGCTGCAGCAAGTTCACGCAGCCATTACAATGCGATTAGCAACAATCCCTAGCAAAACACAATGGTAGTACGTCCTCAGCTCGTCCACCGAAGCATTTGAAACCTTCTAGACATTGCGGGAACGATCCTGACAGTTGCAAAGCACAATGGAATTCCATCGGCAACTCATCCACCAGCAACACTTGCAATCCCATTTACATTGCGGGAACGGTCCTACAGTTGCAAAGCACAATGGAATTCCATCAGCAACTCCTCCACCAGCACCACTTGCAATGCCATTTGCATTGCGGGAACGATCCTACAGTTGCAAATCACAATGGAATTCCATCGGCAACTCATCCACCAGCACCACTTGCAACCCCATTTACAATGCGGGAACGATCCTACAGTTGCAAATCACAATGGAATTCCGTCGACCGCACATGCACGAAAAACAGGTGACACCCCATTTACAATGCGGAACCAATCCGAGCATGATCCGCCCATGATCCGAGCATGATCCGACCACACACGAGACCGTCTCGCAACCGTCGCACCGCAGAGGTAGATCATCGAGGTTCGGGGACGGACTTTGTATGGAAAAACATAAGGTTTCGTGCATCTGCTATCTCTCAAAAACGCATTTCGTGCGAGACTTCCTCCAAAACTCCATCGGCAACTCCTCCACCAGCACCACTTGCAATGCCATTTGCAGTGAGGGAACGATCCTAGAGTTGCAAATCACAATGGAATTCCATCGGCAACTCATCCACCAGCACCACTTGCAACCCCATTTACAATGCGGGAACGATCCTACAGTTGCAAATCACAATAGAATTCTGTCGACCACACATGCACGAAAAACAGTTGAAACCCCATTTACAATGCGGAACCGATCCGAGCATGATCCGACCATGATCCGAGCATGATCCGACCACACACGAGACCGTCTCGCACCCGTCGCACCGCAGAGGTAGATCATCGAGGTTCGGGGACGGACTTTGTATGGAAAAACATAGGGTTTCGTGCATCTGCTATCTCTCAAAAACGCATTTCGTGCGAGACTTCCTTTAAAACTCCACCTGAAGATGATTTACAATGAAACCTGACTACTCTTTCTTTGACTAACTCTTTCCCTCACTAACTCTTTCTTTGACTAACTCTTTCCCTCATAACTCTTTCTTTACTAACTCTTTCCCTGACACAATCTCTGTCCCTAACTAACTCTTCCTTTGACTAACTCTTTCCCTGTCTAACCTTAAATAACTCTTTCCCTAACTAACTCTTTCCCTCACTAACTCTTTCTTTGACTAACTCTTTCCCTGATTAACTCTTTCCCTAACTAACTCTTTCCCTCACTAACTCTTTCTTTGACTAACTCTTTCCCTGACATTCTAAAAGTTACAAAATTAACTCTGTCCCTAACGAACTCTTCCTTTGACTAACTCTTTCCCTGACAGTCCCTAACTAACTCTTTCCCTCACTAACTCTTTCTTTGACGAACTCTTTCCCTGACATTCTAAAAGTCCGTAACACGGAAGTTTCTCCCCCTAAACTTCCTTTGATAAATATATACTATATATTCGATTTTATATATCATATAATTTTAGCCCAGAGATGCACACCCTTTCATTTTGCGTAAAACGAGCGCGCGTCTTCTACACGCCGACGCTGTTCCTTTTTGGACCTTTTTAGTCCTTACGCGGGTAGGGCCCACGCGCAAACACACAACTAGGTAAATGGTAACTGCCGGTTTCCAAGAAAGTAAATAAGAGAGTGAACTTGCCAAACAGCCTTCAGAACATGACATTCAGCCTTGAATTCAACCACGCCCAGAGACCATTGTAGACCAGAATTTGTTCAGCTGAAATATTTCACTTTAGGGAGGTGAAATATTTCTAGGTGTGGGGGGGGAGACCCCCCTAAAGTGAAATATTTCAGTTTTTACCCACCCCGCACCCCCCCCCCTTAAAGGGGGGTATTAATATATAAAAAATAATATATATTATTATTTTTTTATATTTTATATTTATATTTATATATATATATGTATATTATAAACGCTCGGCATTGGGTTTTGTGGTAATTTCAATATTTTCAGACAACCGCATGCTTGATGGTGAGAAGACACCCATCCCCATCCCCCTACCCTGATTGGCTAAACCCTTTTGCTTGATGGTGAACATCCTAATTTAGTTAAACCGCACAAATTTCACGTTAAAATGCAACCGTTTCACAATTTTTGATGGTTCAAACTTTATGTTTCCACCATTATCGTAGGCACTTTGGGAATCCTATGGTGTGGACTGGCGATTACTCAGTCTTGACACATCGCTGGTCAGGATGCATCAGAGAGCCGTCCGGCCGGGATCACAGGTTGCAGGGTGTCGAAACCAGAGGTTGTTGATGTTGACCATTGCAGTTCCAATGGATTGCACCTTTCTGGATGGATTCCACTATAGGCTACACGGCCTGGTCCCCCATCATCACAACCCCCGGAGGCCATTTTAGCCGATTCTTTTTCGTGTCAACGGTCAGACAGTTGTGCTGTGCCGCAGTCAGACTCTTGATCTTCTTTTCCTGATTGTGATTCACTGAGCACACCTATATACAAAGCGGTATATTTTTCCTGCTTGTGTTTTGAAGAGATGCTTTCTTCGAGTGATCCCCTCCCTGACATTCTATCTGACATATTGTCTGACATTCTAGCTGGCTTCTATCTGGCAATCTAACATATATTTTGATCAAAGGAAGTTTAGTAGTCAAAACTCCGTGTTACGAAATTTTGAAAATGTGGAGAGATTAGTAGTAGTGGTAGTAGTAGTAGGTAGTAGGTAGTAGGTAGTAGGTAGTAGGTAGTAGGTAGTAGGTAGTAGGTAGTAGGTAGTAGGTAGTAGGTAGTAGGGAGTAGGGAGTAGGCAGTAGGGAGTAGGCAGTAGGCAGTAGGCAGTAGGCAGTAGGCAGTAGGCAGTAGGCAGTAGGCAGTAGGCAGTAGGCAGTAGGCAGTAGGCAGTAGGCAGTAGGCAGTAGGCAGTAGGCAGTAGGCAGTAGGCAGTAGGCAGTAGGCAGTAGGCAGTAGGTAGTAGGTAGTAGGTAGTAGGTAGTAGGTAGTAGGCAGTAGGCAGTAGGCAGTAGGCAGTAGGCAGTAGGCAGTAGGCAGTAGGCAGTAGGCAGTAGGCAGTAGGCAGTAGGCAGTAGGCAGTAGGCAGTAGGCAGTAGGCAGTAGGCAGTAGGCAGGAGGCAGTAGGCAGTAGGCAGTAGGCAGTAGGCAGTAGGCAGTAGGCAGTAGGCAGTAGGCAGTAGGCAGTAGGCAGTAGGCAGTAGGCAGTAGGCAGTAGGCAGTAGGCAGTAGGCAGTAGGCAGTAGGCAGTAGGCAGTAGGCAGTAGGCAGTAGGCAGTAGGTAGTAGGTAGTAGGCAGTAGGCAGTAGGCAGTAGGCAGTAGGCAGTAGGCAGTAGGTAGTAGGTAGTAGGTAGTAGGTAGTAGGTAGTAGGTAGTAGTTAGTAGTTAGTAGTTTAGTAGTTTAGTAGTTTAGTAGTTAGGTAGTTAGGTAGTTAGGTAGTTAGGTAGTTAGTAGTTAGTAGTTAGTAGTTTAGTAGTTTAGTAGTTTG